GCCTAGGGGCCGGGATGGGTTAAAAATTTACCTTTTTATTTATGTTTTATATTCTAAAATTAATATATAATTTTTACAAATTAAGGTAACAAACTGCACCATTTTTTTGATGAATATTCTCTGTTTTATGATTTTCTTCATTTTTCTTCTATGAAAAATAAAATAAAACAAAAACCACGTCAAAAAATTATGAAATGTTGCAGACAGAATGTTTACATTTTTCTGGGCATGAGGCAAAAAATGGCCCCAGAAATGACCAAAAAAAAAAGTAAAACGCTGTCATAAAGCTCCCGACCAGCGTAGTGGGGCACCCAAGGGCTGGGATAGGTAAAAAATTTACATTTTTATTTATATTTTGTATTCTAAAATTAATATATGATTTTTTAAAATTAATGCAATAAGCAGCACCATTTTTTTTATGAATATTCTATTTTTTTATGATTTTCTTAATTTTTTGTCTTTAAAAAATAAAATAAAATAAAAATGACATCACAAAATTATGAAATTTTGCAAATAGGACTTTTACATTTTTTTTGGGTGCGTGTGTAAAAATTGGCATAAAAATGACAAAAAAAATAAAACGCTATGAAAAAGCCCCCGGCCTACATAGTGGGGCGCCCAAGAGCCGGGATGGGTCAAAACTTTACATTTTTATTTATATTTTACATTCTAAAATTAATATACAATTTTTAGGAATTAATGCAATAAGCAACACCATTTTTTATGAATATTCAATTTTTTATGATTTTCTTTATTTTTTTTCTTTAAAAAATAAAATAAAATAAAAATGACGTCACGAAATTATGAAATTTTGCAAACAGGATTTTTACATTTTTCTGGGTGCGTGTGTAAAAAATGGCATAAAAAATGACAAAAAAAGTAAAACGCTGTCAACCTGCGTAGTGGGCGCCCAAGAGCCGGGATGGGTCAAAAATTTATATTTTTATTTATATTTTACATTCTAAAATTAATATACGATTTTTAGGAATTAATGCAATAAGCAACACCATTTTTTTTTATGAGTATTCAATTTTTTATGATTTTCTTTATTTTTTTCTTTAAAAAATAAAATAAAATAAAAATGACGTCACAAAATTATGAAATTTTAGAGACACGATTTTTACATTTTTCTGGGCGTGCTTGCAGAAAATGGCATCAAAAAATGACAAAAAAAAATAAAAAGCTATCAAAAAGCCACCGACTCGCCTAGTGGGGCACCCAGGAGCTGGAATGGGTCAAAATTTTACATTTTTATTTATGTTTTGCATTCTAAAATTAATATACGATTTTTAGGATTCAATGCAACAAGCGGCACCATTTTTTTTTATCAATATTCTATTTTTTATGATTTTCTTTATTTTTCATCTTTAAAAAATAAAATAAAATAAAAACGACGTCACAAAATTATGAACTTTTGCAGACACGGTCTCTATATTTGTCTGGGCATGCCTGCAAGAAATGGGGTCAAAAAATGACCAAAATAAAAAATAAAACGCTATCAAAAAGCCCCAAACCTGTTCTTGACATCCCTATGTATAAAGTCTTAAAAATCTTTATCATCTCCCGCCCAAGCAATGTGGGACGACACAAATGGTAGACTTGATGAGTATGCTAAGCAGCTAAAGCTTAAGAGTATGTTTGGTAGGGAAAAAAAGTAGAAGGAAGGAAGAAGGTGGAGGGATTTTAGGAGGGAAAATAAAAATATAGGTTGTTTAGTAGGAGAGAAAAGGGAAAGGAAGAGAAAATAGAGTGAAAAATAATACATGTGGACCCCACTATTTTTTTTTCCCACAAGTGGGCAGAAAATAAGATGGAAAATGGGACAACTCATTAAAGTGAGCAAAGTTACTAAACTACCATTTTCTCCGTCAACATTCAAGCAAAAAATTTAAAGGTATAAAAGTAATTTACAAGTAAGATTTTTTTTTCCTCTCAATTTAACTTCCAATACCAAATAAGTGAATGTAAGCTCATTTTTTTTTCTATCTTCTCGTACCAAACAACATAAAAGAAAATCAATTTTTTTTTCATCATTATTATTTTTCATCACTTCCATATTTTCTTTATATTCTATTTTCTTTCCTTCCTACATAGCATAAAAGACAATAGGTCCATTTCCACACAAAAAATAAAAATAAAAATAAAAAATAAAAAAAATACGCGCGAAACCATTCTTACAACTGCACAACATTATCAAGTTTGCCCCTTCTTTCTTTTGTCTTTTCTGTGAAATCCTATCTGATCGCCTCCATCTTCCTCTTTCTTTCTTTTTCCATTTTTTTCATCTCTCATCTGGTCCCTGATCTCCGCTGCTCAAACCTGCCCCGGCCACCATTGTTGATGCCGAATCATCTTCCTTGCAGTATAATTTTCACATCCATATTGAATCTCTTTCCTTTGATTTTTTTTTTTTTTTTTGCTTGGATCGTTTCAAAGTTGAATTATTTCTACATTTTTTGTGCTCTGCTAAAATTTTCTAGGTTTGTTGAGTTTTGTAAGATTTTATTAATTTTTTTCTCATTCCTACTCAAGTTAAGATCTTTAGTGAGCATTCAGACTTTATTTTTTTTAAATACTGAATTTTTTTCCTCTTTTTCAGGGTCTGATTTATTGTTGACGTTCACATAGCTACTTTTCTTTCAATTAATAATCTTTCTTGAAGCATGTGTTGGGCTGCTTTTTTTTTTTTTTTCTGTGTTGGGCGCTTTTTTTTTCTGTGTTGGGCTGCTTTTTTTATTTATTTTTTCTTCAATGCATGCTAATTGTTTAGGACATTACTATTTTATCTACGTGTTCTTTTTACACCGTTTTAATGTAAATTGTGGATAACGTGGGAATAATCCTCACACGATCAGTATTAGATACTTTTCCGAACTATAAAAGGGAATTTTATTGCTATTTCTTTACCTAGCAAGAAAAAAACGAGGCAAATTTGTTTTCAATGTACTAAAAGGTCAACTTAAACTGGATGATTGTTTGAAGATGGACCCAAGTATGTATAAGACTTGTTCCTCTTGGGGAGAGGCACTAAGATGCAGGCATGTCTAAGGAGAATCAATGCGTTTAACGAGATAAAAAAAATAGAAATTTTATCCACAAATATTGATGTGAGTTTTATAGAGTTGATTATAAATTACTATGGCCCCGTTCATTTCACCGATTTAAGTTTAGAATTCGAGTTTTGTTACAGTAAAAAGCTCTCAAAAACAGTCACATCTAACTTTTTTGCTACAGTAAAAAGCTCTCACATAAAATTACATCTCAACTTGAATTAAAAACTCGAATCAACGAACTAAACAGGCCCTATGTTGATGGGCATGAAATCAATTTATTTGAGCCCCGCGATAAATAAGCTAATAACATGATCTAAGAAGAAAAAAGATGAAAAAGAAAAAAAGTGAGAATTTCAATTTGGTACCCTACATCACGGTAAAGTTATCTTTTAGTATTTTTAATAATTTTAAATTAGTATCTTTACCTTTTAAATTATCAATTCTCGATACTTGGAGGCCGTTTTTAAAGACATAAAATGTCAAATTTATCATTTTTAATAATTTTTGATTTGGTTGACACATATTTAGTCTTTTCAGATTTTTAAAGGCAAAAAAGATATTTTATTATAAGGATAAGGTTTTTTTTTAATGTTTAATAAAGAGTAAATTCATATCAACTAAATCAAAAATTATTAAAAAAAGCAAATTCAACATTTCATCTACCAAAAAATGACCTCGAAGTATTAAAAAAATATTTTTTTTTCAAAACGTTTACTAATTCAAAATATCAAAAAACGGAGACTAAAAGACAACATATTAAAAGATAATTTCACTATAAGACAAGGCGGCTATCTTATAAACATAATCTTACAAACATATGAAAAAAAAAAAAATGTAAAGTGGCATATTTGTAAATAATAGGTGTTGAAAATGTGCAATCGTAGGTTTAAAGGAGAAGAGATAACACTCTTGTAATTATGTTGAAAAAAGTTGCTTATTATTTAAAGAGCATAAAATAGCATCTTAAGAACATCTCTAATATAATATTAAAATTGACGTGTCAATTATAAATTTAAAATTTAAGTGTAAAAAAAACTTTCTAATATAATATTATTTATTGTGTTATATTTTGTATATGCTGTACTTTTTGATAAATCTCCCACCAAATATAACATATGAAAATTTTAAACTTTAACTGCTAGAAGTTGCCATGTTTATTTTTTTATACAACTTTTACATTTTCTAATTATTTTAAAAATAATAGTTTACTTTTACAACTCAAAGCTTAAAAACTTAAATGATTATAAGAAGAATGTAAATTCAACATTTATTCAACATTTCAAATAACATCCTGCATTTGAGTAAAAATAACATATTATATTATACTTTTTAATGCTAAATTTTCAATTGGCATTAAATTTACATTGAAGATGGTCTAAAAAAGTCACTAATGGAGTTGTATTTAACACTTGTTCAATCTAAAACAACATCAAGTCAATAATTAGACTCCATTATCTCAAACACAAGGCCAAAAAATATTCGCTCGGATCGCTATCACTAGCCAGGTAAATATTTGTAAGCGATTCCTCCAAAAATTGCTTGCAACCAATTGCATAAATACTAAAGAGGTTTCAGACAAATTAGCAGTGCTTGGGTAATGTAAAAGTAATGAGACGTGGAATCAAATAAACTGACTTTCATCCTTAAAAAAATAAAATAAAATAAAATAAAATAATAATAATAATAATAATAATTATTATTATACCTAAATCTAAAAGGCAAGGCGAGACAAATTAACACGGAGCAACTGCGTTTTATTTATTTATTAGGACAAATTAACACTCCACATAATAACCATCATAAAGCATCACGACATGGCAACTGTATTAACCATCACAAAGGACAGACATGACAGAAGACGGCAAAGAATGCCATTAGCATAATCAACATCCCAAACAGTTCCCAACACAAAAAAAAAAAAAAAAAAAAAAAAAAAAACCCAAAAAAAAAAAAAATTTAAAAAAAAAAAACGCCAGACAGAAAGTAGATTTGTATGTTCGCTTATTTGAAACAAGAACGCTGCACACACACATATTGGACACGAAATATTTATAACCTCTCAGACGAGCCATCTTCTCATCCCACAACTTTCCTGGTATAGACTCTGCCGGATTGGATCGGCTGGGCATGCCTTAGATACACATTGCCGGACTCGCCAATCCACTGGACTCCGGATTTCATAGGAGCGGTGGGGCGCAGCCCCACAGTTGGCTTACGAGGAGGACCAAGTGTCATGTTTGCCAGCTTCTCAGATGCATCAGAAACTACACGTGTGGCTCGAACCCTATTTGTTGAGACTGCCAAGAGCCAAGGAACAGAGTTAAACAATAGATTGGGCGGGTCAAATATCCGACCACACAGCTATTATAAAGAAACAAGATGGAAATGCTGTACAGAATGATACCCTACTCAACAATGAAAAATCTAGAATATATATGTTGGTAACAAAAACAAATACTCACTTGAATTGCTTTTTCCCGGGGGTCGATATTTTTGCTGATTTCCGGAGCTCTTGATAGATTTATTATCATTCTTTCTTGCATCCTTGTAAACATTATGAAAAGGCATCAGTAAAACCAGTAATAGAAAACAGTCACAAATTAGTGGTATTCAACATTCAAAAGCAAAGTGAGCTTTGTCATCTCCCTCTACCTCCTTTTGGGTAGCAATCAGAAAGGAAGATACAAAATACAACCAAAAAAGAAAACAAAATATTTCGATCATTACCTGGTTAAGCATATCCAGCTTTCGCTGCACACCTGTAATGAACAGAGTATCTAATGAGAATTTGAGGCCGAAAAATAGTATGTCAGAGTCTACTTTACAGGACCAGAAAACCATATAATTAGATCACAAAGAGAACATTATTTTTTTAAGGAGAGATCATAAAATAACATGATGGTGTTTATTTATTTCAAGAATAGCTCTTATGAAATGGCAAAAGGTTTACCATTCAAAAAAACCCAAGCGCAAATGCAACCTGACAGACATACTACCAAACCAAGAAAGGGAAGGCACAAAATCACAGAAAATGATTACCAGAATCTGCAGAAGCATGTAACTTCGGTGAAGAAAAGTTGCTTGAGGACTTCGAGTTATGTAGAGTCGCAGTATGTTTTTTAGCGCATTGTTGTTGATCCGGAACTCTTGTTCTAGCTGTGCAACAATAAAATAAATGGAGTTTAAATAATTATATGTTCTATATTTCAGTAGACATTCACCAATTGATCATAGCATTCACAAACCGGATGGAGGAGTTCTAGCAACAGCGGGTCTTGAACGAAGGGACGGCGGAACATAATAGCAACTCTGCAACATAAAAGTACCAACGTAATGAGAACCAAGTAATATGACAGCCAAAAACAAATGCAACAATGTATCCCTTTCTAAGAATAATCAATCAACACTTCATGTATTATATCCCCTAAAACTTAAGTACCAAAACAAAACACAATACCTGGAAGAAAGGATGCTGAAGTGCCTCAGCAGCTGATGGCCTCTTGGAAGGATCCCATGAACAAAGTGCCTTGACATTAAGGAAAACGGAGAAAAGAGCATAAGATACCCAAATAGAAAAATCCATCATCTCAAACCATGACAACCACTAGTAGGTATCCCCTTAAACACCCGAATCAAACAAATAGTGGATTAAAAAATAAAAAATAAGCAAGTCATTACAAACTACTCACTGTAATAAGGCTAATCGCGTCATCACTAGCCGAGGGAATCAATGCAGATAGATTGACACCTGGAAACTGCATTACATGAAATAACTACAACTCAGTCCCTGCGTCTTCTTTTCATTACTATTTTTATATTTTTTTTTTATCAAGTACTATTTTTTTTTAAAAATTCCTAGTAAAGTGGACAACAAGTCGTATTGCATCAGTAAGAAGAAATATAAGATACTTGAGAAGTTGAAATATATAACATAACACGAGAACTAAATACATAGAACTCTAGTCCATGCACTCTGCAAGCATCTACTGAGTCTTCATAATGACAGTCGATTAAACGACAAATGAAAATTGGTACATAAAAGCATTTAACAAAAGTGACCTGTGGGAATTGGTAGTTGATATCACTTGCGAGGTGAAGCCCATCAGCCCACGAGTCCTCAGTTGGACTGCCTATCACACTACAGATTTTGTAAATCTCATCTGCTTCACTGTATGCATATCAATTATGAGAAGTTAGAATGCTTGTACGTAAATTGCCCGTCACCATATGTCTAAAAATGTTAAGTGTTGTTAGTTGAAACACTTAACTTTTGAAAATATAACCATTTTGGGATACAGGTAAAAAAATTTGTACTCTAAAGAAACGAAAGAGTAACTGTGAGCAGAAATAAGTGCATACCTAGCACCAGGAAATAGAGGGCGGAGAGTAAACAACTCCGCCATTATAGCACCCATTGCCCACATATCTAACAAAAAACATTAAGCGTAAAAATCTAACACCTCCATCATATGAAACTTAACTACTGGTAAAAACACCTCATCAAACATGAAAGTAATCAACATTCATTTGAATGTTGCACACTCACCAACTTTAGAACTATACAGGCATGATTGAAGCAGCACTTCAGGGGCTCGATACCTACCGTGTAAATGAAACACAGTAACATATTGGACACAATACAAGCAGGAGAAAATATTACAAAGATAGAAACCAAACGAAAACAACAAAACACCTACCAGCGAGTTGAGACATATTCCGTATATGGTGGCAAGGAATTAACTTCCCGAACCAGGCCAAAATCAGCAATTTTGATTAGTGCTTTTGTGACCAACAAATTCTCTGCAAGAGAAAACACAAATGAAAGAGTCAAAACAAAAAAAAATGAACGCGAAATATGAACACAATAGCAAATAGTCAAAATATTTCTTCAAGGAAAGAAGAGGAAGCAAAAAGCTACCACAGGAAAATAGAGCTATTGCATAAAAGATGCAACACATAGATGTAGAGAGTACAGCATAAATTAAAAGCTTACAGTATACACCAACACCATATCATTTCAATCGCACAACATATTAAAAAGAGAAAATAGAGATTTAAGGGAAATACTGCTCAGAGAACCAATTTATAACTTTTTTAATAAGAAATAAAATTGAATTTAAAAAAAAAAAAGTCAGGGAAATCCTTGGTCTTCATCAGCATTCAAGTGCCCAGCAACAAAGAGCAGAGGTGATCCAGCACAAGGGAAAAGGAGCAAACAAAGATAGATGATACTGTCGGAGTTTCATGAACTGAAGATACCGCTAATATTTCTATAACTAGACGATTAAAATGATTTTCCTTTCCAAAAGAAAACTAAATGAAGGAACAAGATCAAAAGTAAACAACGGAAAGTACACGAGGACTTCTCATTCCACATTATACTGACAAGTGAATTACTTCAACATATTTCCAAAACTGCTTTGGCCTTTCAATTTAGAAATTCATTTTAACCACGATGAATATAATTTATCATAAAACATTACCAGGCTTCAGATCCCGATGAAAATAGCCACACTGGTGCATGTATGAAAGCCCTTGGAAAACTTGAAAACACCAATTTCTAACTTCAGCTTCCGAGAAAAGTTTCTGCCTGTCTTTCATAAGTTGGTACAGATTGCACTCCTAGCGGATGGGTGCAGCAGCATTAGAGAGAAGAAAAAACTCAAGAAACATGGGCATGAGTTCATAATTACACGAAAAATCCACTTACCATGTATTCAAACACAAAGTACAAGATGTCATTTTCTCTTATGACTTCCTTAAGCTTCACAATATTAGGATGATTCATTTTGCGCAATGACTGTCATAAAACAAACTCAAAGTCACTTAATGAAGTACATGTAGCTGCGAGTCAAAGAAGAAAAGTAGATTCATATACCTTGACTTCTCTCAAATTCACACACTCGTCCCATGAAAAGTATTTTTTCTTCATTTTTTTAATAGCAACCTGCATAATAGAAGTAATAATTAGAAAAAAAAAAAAAAAAAAAAAAAAAAAAAAAAAAGAGAGAAAAATCTCCACATTATAAAATGAAGAAACGTCAAAGAGACTTACCACTTCACCAGTTTTCTTATTAATAGCTCGCCAAACACTTCCGAATGTTCCATCACCTACCTCCTTTATTAATGTGTACCTAGTGTATTCAGGAAACAGTTAAAATCATCACGTTAACAACAAAGAAAACATGACCAACCAAGTACTCCAAAAATCATACTCACCTCTCCATTATTTTGGAACACAAAGCAGCTCTTTATTTATTCAAGACAAGTATAAGAACTCACTAAAGACGAGTGGAAGTTATCTTCAATGAATGGTCCTTAAAACACTCTATAAACTATACACAACTGCGTTGCTGGTCCAGCTAAATCCACCATCAATTTTCTGAGGCAACATGCATGAGCACAAAACCAGAAATATTCTGATGGACGAGCTGCACAGGCTTATTTATTACTAACCCAAAGGCTTGAAGACAGTAGCATGGCACGAGCAGTGAATATGGACAAGAGCTATAGAACATATTGTCACTTTAAAGAAACAAGTACACTTGGTTCAGGGAACAGGATAAATCTCTTGGCTCAAGAACAGTGTTGCCCAAGCGTCCAAATATAACTTCCCTAACAGCTATTTCATCTATATCTATAAAAGAACAGTTGCAAAATCTTCAGCTAACTGATATCTCGCCACTCTAGACAGTACCCATCAGAAGCAACAACAAAGAAATAACTAGAAAGCAAGCAGCCTGCAGAGATCCCACAATCAATTATCTAATATTGACTATGCAGCAGTCTTCAGCAGCAGATAAGCAGACGTCAGCCCTGTGATGAGAAAACAGAAATACAATGAGAAATAAATAGCATAAAAGTCCTAATTGTAATAGAACTACATAACATAAAACGACTAAAATCCTAAACCTTGTCGAACTACATAACATAAATGACTAAAGTCCTAATCCTAATAGAACTACATAAAATAAAATGTCTAGAGTCCTAATCCTAATAGAACCACAAAATAAATTTAAAAAAAAAAAGATAATAAAGTGCCCCAATCTAAATTAAATTCCAACCTAACGAAAATAAAAAACTACATAGTAATTAATACGTCATTTGCAACCTACAAACACATACACACATATATATAAGAAACAAGTGGGAGATGCGCTATACCCCTGAAGAAGATTTCCCAGAGAGTTGGACTGGATGTTGTATCAGCAATGCACTATTGAAAAACGGTTTGTCAATATTAGCTAACATTCCTTCGAACACTTCTGCACCAAGAAAAATGAGAGGGGGAAGAGAGAATTGCTTACTGGTACAACTGCACTAAAGATCCAACACCTATTTCAAAAGAAACTAGCATTACGCCTCCTTTCCTGATCATTTAAGAGCAACTGACCACTAAGTGCAATTAACAAAAGAAACCAGAAGAAAAGCTCCAACGAAGAGAAATCGCCAGTCAAGCACTTCCTGGAATGACAGGACTGAATAGTGGAAGCAATTTGACCAGAAGCAAGCTCGCTCCATGTCTTGAGAAATAACACAAATTGCTTTAGATCCAAGCCTGCAACAACCTTTCATCAAACGCACAATAAGAGAATTCAGCTAAATAAATGAACAACACACTCAACACAATGCATGCATCACATACGCAATATGACCAAACACAATTAGTACAAATAGTCATTTATCTTGCATTTGCAGATTCAAAAAATAATTGAACTTTTCTATACTGCCTCATAACTGCTGGGGAAAAAAGATAAATAATTAAAAACTTTAAACATTCGTTGATCTATAATATGATGTAGGATTTATTAAGTTGCTCATGGTTATGATTATCTATTAGGATCATTTAGAAATTATTTTAAATCATTCACGATTATGATTATCTATTAGGATTATTTAGGATTTATTTGAGTTTAATTATTATTGTGAATTAGATTTGCTTAAGGATTTTGATTAGAATAGCTTCAGAATTTGCCTGTCTATAAATAGGCCTCTCTTTGTTCATTATCTTAATAATATTCAATATTCATATTCTCTCTTCTTCTCTTCTCTCTCTCTAAAAGCAAAATTATCCCTCCTGCTCTCTAATCCCCCTTCTCTTTCTCTCTCTTCTGTTTCTCTATTCTCCTCCTCCTTAACTGTTCTACATCTATAAACCAACATGAAAGGTTTTATTTCTCGACAAGTCACAAAAATACAACAACAAAATTTGACAGCATGGACACAAACTATACGACTACGAGTATAACCAACAGCAATAGCACTGGAATCAGGCACCAAAGAACTATAATAACAACGATGTATTTGATGCACCTTACTTGGCTTTCCTGACTTAAATTCAGAGTAAACGACCTCCCAAAATCTTATATTTTACAATTCTAAACCCCGTTTATCTGTCGGGAAAAAAGTATGCAGACACCAAGCATGTATGCTTTACAATAAGACAAAATACAGCGGGCAATGGAAAACCCTGTGTCTGAGATAGTAGCCATCAAAATTTCCAAATGGCATCATACGTACAACCGAATTCTACAAAGAAAACATTTAATAGGCTAATACAACATTGGTTCACAAGGATGCAAACAAAACAACCAGTACCCAGCATCATACGCACAATTATAAACAAAACCCTCATAACCGCAAAAGGGGAAAACAAATTCAAGCCTCCTGACACATGCAAACAAATCGAAAGTCCCAAAATACCTCAATTCATCGAAAAGGAAGACACAATTCAACTAATTTCAATCATAAGCTTAAGAAAATAAACCAGCCTGAGATTAAAATTAACAACAATGATAATTATGAGCGATTACGCCAAAGATTACCATACTGAAAAGCTCAAGTTTATTGAAAAGCAAGAAAATAATTCAACTAATTTCAATAATGAGCTTAACAATATAAAACAGCCTGCGATTAAAACTAACCAAAACAATAATAACTACGAGTAATTACGCAAAAAACCCCCGGATATAACTACAGTAACCCCAATCCCAAATCAGGGGGGAAAAAAAAGGAAATATAAATCGCGACGACCCAGCAAACGAAACCCTAACCCTAACCCCAAATCGCGAGCCAAATCGACGCAAATCGCAAACCAAATCAAATAGAAACAAGGCAGATCTAAAAAAATTCAGAAAAAAGTAATTTATTAAAATAAAATAAAAAGAGGAGAAAAACCTGAAAGCCAAGCGGCATAGCCACCGTCGCCGGGGACGGAGAGGGGTGGAATCCAGAGCTTCTTCTGTGATGTCTCTGCTCTTTATCCACCGAAACCCAGAATTTCTTCTTCTTCTTTTGCCAGGAAAACACGAAATTCTGATCTCTTTCTCTCTCTTTCTCTCTCTCTAGAGGAGTGGGAATACCTAATTTCTAGCAATTATTTGTGATTCTAAATTCTGATGCTTTCATTTCTATTCCCTTCTTTATAGACCAACTCTCATTGATGTGGAGTTTTCTATTATGCTCCATGGACGGTCCTGATTGCCTCCTTCCTCCGCGTTGCGTACTATCGTGCGGTCACCAATACCTAAACTCTCTTCCCTTACGCATGTTTATTGATTAATATTTTTTCAATATGTGTATTTTGAATTTTTGATCTTTTTTTTCTTTTCAGAAAGTATTTTGATTTCCCGAGTCCACCTAATTTCCACTTATATCCCCTCAAATAAAATAAAGTAAAATTTCCCTTCTCCCCATCCTGTCTTCCTTTTTATTTTGGTTTTTCTTTTCTTCATCCTCATTACGAAATCATACATTATGATTCCGTTTATTTTACTAATTTAAATTTTAAATTTTAAATTTATTAAGTTAAAAGTTTTTATAAAAAATTATATTGAGTGAGATCACGTTTATATAGCTAATTTTAGATTCACATTAATCATTAAATTTTACTATTTTTCAATTAAAATTTACTTGTAGAGGACGTTTAGTTTATGTATTTAGAATCATTCTCATTTTATGTGTATTTTTTTGTGAGAGAAAACACTGTAGAAAACCATGAATTATGATTCGGAATCATGGACGAATATAGGAAACAAACGTCCCCTTAATTACAAAAAACAGGGTTCGTTCACTTCGCTGACTCAAGTTTATAATTTGAGTTGATATGTGATTTTGTGTGAGAGTTTTTTACTGTAGTAAAAAAGTTAGATGTGACTGTTTCTGAGAGCTTTTTACTGTAACAAAACTCGAATCGGCGAAATAAACGGGGTCTTAAATATCCTTCACATTTGAATATTTTATTTTTATTCTTATTATTATTATTTTTTTCTTCTATTTACCTCTTCTTTATGATAAAAAAATTGACCATGGACTAAAAATAAAAATTAGGAATAAAATTAAAATCTGAACCAAAATATTAATCATGATTTTTCGATAACCTCAAAATCCAGTGTATGAAAATAAAAAATAAAAGTTTTTACTTTTTAGGTAAGCTTCCTTTTTTGGGTTGGAATTAGAAACTTATTTAACCGTGTAAATATTTTTTTTATTTTTATTTAGATAGAACATGTAAAGAATTTTAGTTTTACTCAATAATTATATATATATATTACGTATATTATTACTCAATAATGATATATACACATTTTTTTTGTTTTTGATAATTCTTTGCCAACAATTTTTTTTATATTTTATTGAAACCTATCCATATTACTCATGCATGAAAATGACGAAAGAATAAAGAAAATGACAAATTCATAATGTCCGTAGTACAAAATAGGGAAAGTGTTGAACCAATGTTGGCCATGAAAAAGAAAGGAAAGAAGAAATTTATTATAGGACAGAGAAACATGATAAACATTACTTGCATTTAATTGTTAAAATATTGACATTAGATTTGCCTATATCTAATCTAATTTCCTGAAGAAGAAAAAAAGAAAGAATTGACTATTTGTAATTTAGGGATAAATTATTAGTGTTGTTCATGAACCCGCAAAACTCGCAGGCCCAACCCAATTTGAAAAATGCAATTTCTAGTATTAAATTTTTTTTTCGGCACATTCAATGTTTGGCTCGAAGTTTTGGGGCGGGTGTGGGTTGAGTCTATAATGACCGCACACCCCAATCCAACTCGCGCTCTAACTTGCATTCTCTAATATCTAACCCTAGGCATGCAACTCATTTATACTCTTTATTTTCTTCATGTTTGAATTAAGTCTTTATGTTAAAACTAATTTATGAGTGTAGACTAATTTATGTTTGATGTTGGATGGACTACTTTGCTTCATGTTTGATGTTGGATTGAACTTTGAATTTCTATTTGTTTGAATGTTTGAGTTATTATTTCTATTTGATGATGAACTTTATATTGGATTAAACTTTGAGTCTTTGATTTTTTGAATGTTGAAACTGACCACCCAACCCACCCCGCACCGCTCCAACTCAACCTAAACAAAATTGGGTTGTAAAATTTTTCTAACATCATTAGAGCCAAATATGTGCAACCCGCACCTTTCGAAGCAGAAGAAAAAAAAGTTTTACTCCGCACTAATCTAATCTATGAACGGCTCTATTAATTATAGTTAAAGTAGCGTGTCCATACGTTAATGTGAAAAAAATTTAAAAAGGTTATTTTTTTTTTGTTTTTTTGAATAGTAAAAAAATTTAAAATGGTTATCTTTTGATTGTTAGATTTTGATTCCTTTCTTTTCCTTTTCAACCTGGCATTCTTATTTCTCAAGCCTACGGATTATCCATTATTCACGCACTAGAAAATGGTTATTCGAAACCTCGGTTTCCAAGTTATATTAATATATGTCTCGTTCATTTCACCGATTCGAGTTTTTAATTTTAGGTTTTTACAGTAAAAAGCTCTCAGAAAATGTCACATTTAACTTTTTTTGTTACGGTAAAAAGCTCTCAGAAAATGTCACATCTCAACTCGAATTGAAAACTCAAATCCACAAAGTGAATGATGTCATAGTTTCCTATTTAAACCAAACAAAGCAGACCATTGGTTTTACCGTAGACAAAGTAGGGGAAAAAGAATAGTAAGCACGTTATTCCGTGAGACTATACTAATTACCACATGATGACATTACTACATGATGATATGATACAAACACAATAGGATTTTTTTTAAAATGTTAAAAAAAACACTAATTATATAAGTATCAACTCGAAATTAACACATTAAAAAGTGAGTCGTGTTCGTGTAAATTCACGTGACACTAAATTGATCAGTTCAATAACTATATTTATTTTTTAAATATTTTTTCTTTACTTTTTGGTTGAATTTGTTTTGAATTTTTAAGACTTAATTAGTCGTTGCAAATGCATTTTATGTTGTTTCATATGATGTTAGTGCATAAATTATAGATTAAAGAAAAAAAGGTCATTTACGGTTGTGGGTTTTGTTAGTTAATTGGATGGCTGACAATTCGAGTAACGATATGACGACATGACTCGAAACTCGCACGAAATTAACAGATTTGGGTTTACTATAAATGGATTTGGGTCATAATTAGATTGACACGATTAACACTATTAAAAATTTGGTTGGGTTAGGGTTGATCTCATAATACGAAGTGACACGAATTGACATGATTAACTATATGTATTATCTGCAAGCTAATGATATGTGATATAACATGAAAGTTTATCTGACATATTAAATACAAATAATGTGAATTTTAATATGTGTAGGTAAAATTAATTTATTTTTCTTAAAAGAAAAGATAAATTGACCAATAAACATGTTAAATCTGTCTTGACCGTGTTAAATAAGTCATTATTATATTAGTTATTTATTCAATATATTAATTTAAACGAGTTGACACGATTAACACGATTAATAAATGAGTCGTATTTGAGTTGACATTTTTGACACGTCTAATAAACAGGTCATGTTTAGGTTGATATTTTCTGACACGATTAATAAACAGGTTGACACAAACACGAATTGCCACCCTTACAGCATATTTTAAAACTATTTGAAGTAAATAGCAATTTATATGGTGAATCAATTATTTATTGCGTAAGTGGTTCATTTACGACTAGTAAAGACATTTTTCCTATAAATCTTCCTTTTTCTTTTTCACGTAAGTAAATATTTTTTAAAATTTTTTATCACGCAAGTTAATTTTTACCAATAAAAAATTAATTATTTACACGATAAGTGATTTATTTACCACATAAATTGTTATTTATTGTAAATTATTTTAAATATGTTATTTACTTAATTTAGTTTTAAAAACATCTTATTTACTATAATTATATTGAGCCTTAGTACAACACTAACATAATTCATGAACAGCCACTCTTAATATACTATTCACAAATTTATTATTTACTACATTTTTCCTTGCATAAATCATCTTAACTCTAATACGATCTGCAGGAACCCATTACTTATGTGATATTATGACACACAATTAAGTACCAAAAAACACGTGTCCATGATTAGTACAGTGGGAGGCGCAATATCCTATTATATACTCCCTTATCCTTTTTTTAATTATTTTCTTAATTCACGCAAATTAATGATATATATATACAATTTCTTCTGGAGATATTTTTCAGTGGCAGTCATATTTTGTGGATGGTGAGGTGTATAGATTTGGTCTTAGGGTGGCGCCACGAAGGCAAAATGAGGGTTGATATAGGTATTTAGGTGTCAAGTGTGAAAGAGACGAAAGTGGGGTTTGCTTTGACAATGGGGCTTCTTCCACTTTTTGGTTGGGAAGGGAACCCAGGAAAGGAAACTCATCCCTTAAATTTTTTTATTTATTTTTTTTGATAATTAAGTCATCCCTTAATTTGCCCCTTCCAACTTGGCACCAACTTTACCCAAAATATGTATGTTATATATATATATATATATATATATCACCTACTTTATCCATTGCAACAACTCAACAATTAAATATTAGATTTATGATGTTGATTCCAGGACATTTTTAAAGAATAATAATTTGGTCTAGAATGTAACCTGAAAAAAAAGGGTCTAGAGTGTTTCTTTCAGTGGATTTGTGAATTTTTTTTTTTTCCTAAAGGTTTGGCTCCTAATAATAAAAATAATGACAGAATTTTTGAATTTAATTGAAATAGTTACATGTCCATCAGTTGAAAACGCATGTACACATACAAAATGTTATAATTTTCAAGTGTCTTTCATGGTTTTAGATTACATTTTGTTCTCTATGTAGCTGTTTTTTTTTTTTTCATATATAGTTTTTCAAATTACTTACATGTAAATAATTATTAAATTTTAAAAATTGATAATTACTTTTATATTCTGAGATAATTGTCAAAAAATTAAAAGTTTAGAAATCAAACGGTTTACAATTATTGAATAACGACGCCAAAACCTTAGAACATTTTAGCAAATTAAGTTTGAATCTGTCAAAGTTGTAGTTCAAATTTGTTTTATCCTCTTTTTTTTTTTTTTTTACCCCACCACCCA